ATATTATGACCGTCGGGTGTACACCGCGGCACACACTTGTGTGCGTGCTCACACGTATGGAGCGGCTCGCGCTTGTGTGGAGCATGACTTGCGCTTGCGACCAAACGTCAAAATCGCGATGCTTCTGTCATAAAGCATGCGATTTAATGATCGGCCCGGGCAATAAGTAACTCCCGAATGCCGGCGAAGGTCGAGTCCCGAGTTACGCCGATGCTCGGGCAGGCGGGCTAAGTAATTAGGAAAACGACCCGAGCATCCGCTAGAACAGTTGTTTATGAGGGAGGACATAAGTCAACGACGGTCTCCGCCCGAACAAAGGGGTGCCGCAGAAACAGCCAGTATATATACCGGGACGTGAGGGAGTCTCGGGGTTCAGTTCAGTTGAGATCAGTTACTGTTATTGAGTAGAGCGAGGCTCTAGGCAGATCAGTCACGACAGTCAAGAAGAGCGAACCTCTGGCCAGCTCGATCGCGAATCTCAACTAGTTTCACAGTGCACGAGTCAGTTATTCGCAAAGTGTGTGAACTCGCCCAGCTCGCCGACGCCGTGCCACCCTCGTCGACGCCGCAGCAGCCAAGGCTGCATCGCTACGGGCCCGCTCTAAAACGGACAATATCAGCCGCCAAGCCCAACGACGCCGCCGAAGAAAAGCCGATACCTTGTAAGCACCTACTGTTGTAATTAGAATTAAGTCTGTGAATAAATCGTCTCTTGTGAAAACCAAACAGCCCATGTAACTCTTTCTTCACCTTACCTCACCCCAGAGACAAACGCGAATAGAGCCGAGTCCTTTCAGTCAGCTGACGTATTTTATTAATAAGTAATAGAGGGGCTAAAATCCCGTCATTACAAAACCAACATCTTGAAGACTTATATGAGGCGTTTCAGCCCAAGTGTTCTAGCGCGTCGGCCGCACGGCGCTTTTAGGCGAAATTGCTTAATTTCTATCTCGCTATAAAACATCCTAAACGCACTTAATAAAAATATGTGACGTATGATTTCGATTGGAAATTTCCTCAGCTTTCCGATGGTGAAGTCAGATTTTTGAAAATTTTCCATTTTCCACGGAAAATTGTAAAAATAAACTTTTAACGTAAAATATCCCAAAAAACGCATTTTTAAGATTTTTTAAAGTAGTCTCAATCGAAAGCTGAGGAAATTTCCCATCGAAATACATATTTTCCAGAGAGTACATTTTATTTTTACTAGCTGAAATACAGCGATGAACGTGTAAAAACGTGAGATTTTGCGCCGCGGGGGGTACTGCGCGACAAAACAGCTGTCGCGCGGGCCGAAAAGTTGTGTTTTTACTCGTTCATCGCTGTATTTCAGCTAGTAAAAATAAAATGTACTCTTTGGAAAATATGTATTTCGATGGGAAATTTCCTCAGCTTTCGATTGAGACTACTTTAAAAAATCTTAAAAATGCGATTTTGAGATATTTTATGTTAAAAGTTTATTCTTACAATTTTCCGTGGAAAATTTTCAAAAATTTGACTTCACCATCGGAAAGCTGAGGAAATTTCCAATCGTAATCATACGTCACATATTTGGGCTAAACCGCCTCATATATTGATTTTATGCGCCTATTTATTCATTTTATTTATTAGTTTATATTTCATTGGCATGAAAAAATAATTTCAAGACCACTGTACACTAGACCTACTTTAATTCTGTCCAATTTTTCGGGTGGAATAGGAATTGGAACGTGTATAAGCATACAAAAATCCACATTCCTCGGGACAGAATTAAAGTAGGTCTAGTGTACTCAGAAAAGTACTAAAGTAACAACTCCTGACGTGAAACTGATAAATTAAATTAAAAAAACACAACTTAGTATAATAGATGAAGAGCCCATATCACTTTAATAATAGTGAAATAATAGTGAGTCGAGAAAGTGCGGGAGTAATAAGTTTCGCGACGAGGCTTTTGCCATTTCCATAATTGAGCTGAATTTTCCAAGTTTCGCCGAAATATATCGGCCAGCCACCCACCCTTGTCTGTTATTGAAATAGATAAAAAAATTTTATGCCATATAAACTTCGAGTCAATTTCCTCTTTCTAATTAGGTGATCACGAGACGTTAAAATATCACGTAGTGATATTACGTTATTCAAGAAAGATGGTAAAGAATTATATTAGAAGCAACCGTTTAAAGTAAATTAATATATATATTATTGTTTATAACTTACATTTTGGTTGGTTATACTTTAACATTGACAAAACTAGACGGCTTAAGGCGTCGTGGCACGGAGATGGAGAAAAAAGTCGACGTCCATACTGGTCGGAGTCGCGCACAAGATTGATTGAAAAATTCGGTTGCAATTAGAACTTCAATCTGTAATTTAATTTTAAGATGAATCGGCGGCTAGAAAATACCGTTTACTTTAATTCTGTACGACTCGCATCTGCGTCCGCACCACAAGATGTCTGCAACTTGTCTATCAACACACATGGCCTTATGATAATTTGAAACTCGAATCTTCTTGACTGTTCGTTCACTTTGTATAATGTTTTATTATATTATTTCAAAGAAAGGTTGGTGTTTATTTTAACGAATCACAAGTCAAATTCAAAATTTTTGTTCATAATATAGAGGTAAAATATTCCATCACCAGCTAGCTATCTCCGTTTTACTACTCTTTGACGAGTAAGTGGTTGGAAAGGCTTTAAATTGTTTATAAAATTATGGTTGTTAATAGTTCGTGTAATTATTTAGAATTTGTCACACATATAATATATATCATTTCACTGTTGTAGAAGTTATTTTCAAACTAATAGATTGATCAAAGTCAAAGTACGTGGGAATATTGATACTAATTCGACGGTTCTTTTTATCTATATATTTTTTATATCTTTTTATTTTTTCGTATTTTAAGGGGTTCAGAACTTATTGTTTTTTATGGCAATATTACAACTATGAGCCGTTTTAAAATCTAAGAAAATGTAACGATTATTTACGCATAATATTTTGATGAAAACATGTTATATTTTCACGAGTTTCAACTATCAAAAGTTAAAAGTTAAATCATATCGTGACATTAAATCCGATGAAAAGGATATTCATCTAAAAACACACCTTTTTTTCATTTAACTTTTCAATTTCTATCCACATTCTATTTTCATATGTATCAAGCATACATGTTACATGAATTGAAAAATCACTTGTCAGTATTATATTTTCTATCAATTCTTTAAAATGGTTCCAAGCAACTGATTATGCTAATTGCAAGTCGACTCCGATGTAAGAATTTCACTCTATGTGAAGACATGAAGTGTCATAAAAGCTTATATGTTATGCGTGAGCTGTCGTTCACTTCTTTGGCCATGGTCCATTGCTTTGTATGACCTGTGTCAAAACCTTGTGTACAATTTTTGTTTTCCATTTAAAACTTTCATATATTTTTTTAAGGACTAGTGTTTGGATTTTTTTTCCTTACATATATCACGCTCATTTTCGTTTAAATGAAAAGGAGATGTTTATTCAAGTAAAGCCCAGTGAAAATTTTATCATTTTGAAAAATTTATCATTTTGAAAAATTTATCATTTTGAAAAATTTTTCTGTAATTTTTTTAATAGAACTTTAAAAATTAATTTCATAAGTTATTCTTAAGCTAAAGCCAAAGATCTTTGGAAGTAACGAACGACGTGCGAAAATAAAGTTTATATAATTATTGTCGCAGAAAAATAGTTGATGTATTTATGTTCATATGACGCATAAGGACAAAGTTTCATTGCGCAAGAAAGTACAGTTAAATAGACGCGAAAAATAAAGGCTGCGTAAATAAGTGTACTTACTGTTCACACTCGTGAGATATTTCACAATTTAATGAGTATTTGCAGCTAAATGTATTGTGAAAACTAACAACATCAGTGATAGCTTCGAAACGGTTTTTATTTTCAATGCGCATAATGTTTTTGACAATTATCTCGTAATCAGGTTTATTGATATAGTATAAGTTTCATTTGGAACTAAAAATGATGAAGGCGCTAAAAGTATAGTTTAAGTGTTAATGTATTTTTTTCTCTTTATTTTTGCCGAATATGTTCGAAACTGTCGATCTTTAACGAGCAATTTACGTGCAAAAACTAAATTTTTGATAACTCATCACACTGATGTAATAAAAACAATTTAAAACTATAAATGTTTGATGATCAATCGATCATTTACGGAAAAAAGAAAATCTTGATACAAATTTAAAGAACTAACCGCAAACTTAAATACCCTATTTCTTTCAATATTATTTGGTCCAAACAAGCAGATATTTGGGAGTCGGTCAAGTGTCTTTCGAGCAAACAGTAAATCCATATGGACGTTTTTTTAATGGCACTTATGAATCTTTAAATTCCGCAACGGGAGCTTAGTACGAATGAAAAATCAAATTTCGAGTTCAAGTTTTGAGAGATCGAAGGAAGAAAAACTCGAAAAGAAGATAGAAAGCGGAATGGGCAATTGGCAACAATGTCAAAGTCACGCATAAATCGTAAAGTGCAAAGCGCGCCCACAAGCTTATGTATATTATATATTCACGGAGAAGGGGCTCCGCGTCTTTTTGCAATTTTCTCTTGGATCTAGATAAGCGCACACGAGCTGCAGAAATCGTGGCCGAGTACGCGACCGCAAAAATCCATCTAATCTCTGCGTGTTTTCTTAGCGAGTCGACGCGTGATCCAACGCCGTGTGCAAAATGAGCGTAGAGCAGTGCTGCAGGATGGAACTTTCCAATTGGATGTACATGCCTATATTATGCTATATGCTATAGACGTAGGCACAGGATAAGCCGAGCATAGATGTATATACACATGGAGTAGCTTTCACTAGGCCGACACACACACACACACACACACACATACACATAGCCAGATTCACGCTCAGACTCGCGGCTACTTTAGACAAACGCACATACACACAGATACGAATATCCACAGTCGCTGGCGCAAAAAGGGGGATACACAAATATAGTAGCTCGCGCAGAGGACTTGGATGTCGCGCTGCAGCTCGGCCTCGCGGCATATACCATCGTTACGCGGCTGAGCCCGTAGCGATCCTCTTGTATTGTATTTTAAAAATTTCGCACGAAGAGTTTCGCTGCTCTTCGGCTCGGCTTGGCTACTCTAGTTTGCATCCGCGTCTCTTAGTGCAGTGCGCGACGCGACCATTCGAACGCGAGCAGGCACGGGTGCTCCAATAGTTCCACATGCCGATTTTCATTCGAATCAAAGTTTTCCAATCGAGTGTGTAGCTGTATTATGAGACCACCAGAAGTCTGTGCTTTTTTATAATCAACTAATTTGTCGCTGATACCGCGAAGCGCCGCTGCAGTTTTAGACAAAAAAAAACGTCAAATTTTTCATACCCGTTTGCATAAAGTAAGGTAACTATATTCATTTAAATAATATCCGTTCGGATGATGAAAATCGGAGAAATCCAGAAAACAAACAGGACAATTTTGCGCGCGGCTCGATTACGAGCGCACCGGTACATACTACATACACGTTATAATGGAGTAAAAAATGTGAAAATTACTTTCTGTACATTAGCGGCTATCTGACGGATCTAGCTCTTGGTCTTTTATGAGCAGCATCGATTAAAATCTTAGCGGCTGTATACATTATACTTTAGTGCCGCACGTGACACTTTTGTAATTTTCATCAGGCGTCATTTGCGCAAGGAGCAATTGTGCGACCATTGTTTGCGCTAAACTCGTCGCGATGCGCCGCACCGATAAAAAATGTTATACTACTGGGACAAAACGAGTTTTTCAATGATCTCGATATTACGCGGATTAGAAATTTCGAAAAAGACGTACACGCGAGACGAGTGAATCTTTTCCTTGAGAAACCGAGTCGAGTAAAGACAATTTTTCAATCAGCGCACGTACTGCCTGAGCATATTCTCGTGCATACTTAGTACATATACACGGCGATCAAGAATCTTATCGTTGAATTGAAATTATATGGTTTGCGTCGCGGCTTGATGGGCTAATTGGCATGCAGCGCTGCAAGCTCTGATAATTCCCATCGCATGTTGATTCGCCCGAAGCGCCTGGGCCAATTTTACGCATCTCGAGTCGCTCCACTGCGGCCACGTCGTAGTTATTGTTGTTGTTGTTGTTGTGGTTGCTGCTGTTGACGTAAAAAGTATACGCCATGTCCATCATGCTCTGAAACAAGCCTGCGTGAATGCGCATACGAGTTTTTGTTTACGGTAAACCTTGACTTATCTTGACTTTTTAATTCTGTGGCTCACGACGAAATTTTCAATACATTAAAGTGACTCATCTTATTAGAAAAATAGGTGAATATTAGCAAATAAATTAGCATGAGATGGTAGAGAGTAGTTTATGCAAGACACTAAATCGATAATACAGAAGAGTAATGCCTATAAAACTGCACATAAATGGATGCGTAAATTCACACCGCAGAGCTATATGCACAGCTCGATGACTTTCTAAATCGGCGCCTTCGACCATAGATTCATTACCGAGAAACGTAATCTGACTAGACGGGAGATTAAATTAGTTTTGTTTCGTCAGAGTAAACAAAGATTCGATGCGCATTCATTAAAGATAACATTATTGCAGAGGATTAAAATTTTTCCGCTTGCCCTCGAAAAAATGTGTTGACCATGTATTACGAATTTCAGAAATGAGCGCCATGGGGATCCAGCAGATTCACGATTTCTTTGCCCTCCTGTACGATCTCGCGATTTTCGCCTTCATGTCGGTGATTTACTTCGTCGAGACGATACTGCTGACCTTCGTTCCACGGCGCTATCGAAGCAAAAATCTGCGCGAAGAGATCGCACTGGTGACCGGAGCCGCTGGTGGCATAGGTCGTCTGATCGCCCAGAAGCTCGCCAATCGCGGCTGCGCCGTCGTCGTCTGGGACATTAATAAGGATGGTACGTACCCGCGCGCATAATGCGAGTCTTAATTTACGATTCAACCGATCGCTTCGAGTTGTGACACATTCAAGGCAACGTCAAATGTCGTCATTGCGAAATAGGCTTCTTTTTCTTTGTGAGGTTTATTTATTGCATTCATTTATACAAAATCTACATCGGAATATCTATTGGATTTTGAGAAAGTTATTACCAGAGTTTCAGCTTGAATGAATTCTTCACAAGCTTAGTTATAATTCTGTGCAAAATTCGTTTCAACTGTGTCGAGAACATCTCTAAAAGGAAAACAAAAGATGCCAAGGCGTGTCCGGCTATCAAAACGATGGCGCAACTGGTCGACGACAGACTTCGATCTTGGTCGCCTTTGCCGTCGTCCTCCTCGAGATCCTCGTCGAATTCGCGCTCGTCCGCGCTCACGCCCAGTTGATACTTCCAGGAGCGAGTCGAGCACTCGTCGCCGATGTTGAGCGTGTGAGCCGGGAAAGTCTGCATGATCTCGCTCATCATCTTGGCCGTGATGCCGGACTCGAAGATTCGACGCAAGGCCAGGTCGAAGCCGTCGACGTAGGGCGACGCCTTCGAGAAGAGCATGTGGTCCCTGCCGGTGGCGAATGGCTCCTCGATCACGCTGATCTTCCATTCCTCGCGGCTCGAGTACGTGTCCTTGAAGAATCGCACGACCTCGTCGTCGATGTCGCAGCCGCTCGGGCCCCGATTGTTCAGTATCATGTCCAGTACGCACTTGTAGTCGTTGCCGTAGTTCTGCGAGGTTTTCGACTCGTCGAAGAGACGATTCAATGCCTCGTAGTCTGTCGAAGATCCGTAAAGATCCTTCAACTCCTCGTTGATCGTCGGTGTGATTTTCGAATCTAGCAATTCTTGCAGCGTCTGCAATTTCAAGTACGTTCTTCTGGTGAGCAAAGTCAGTACGATTTGATAAAATTTTGTCGTCAGCACGATCGACAGCAAGGAAAAAATCAAAAATATCATCTTGCGCTTGAAGGATCGAGGAATGGGCACGCCCACGCCAAACAACAGTTTGATCATATTGAGAAGCGACCAAAAGCGTCCCTTGTCTCCGAGAATTTTCGCCAGCAAAATCACCGCGACGAGAGGTATCGTCAAAGCTGCACAGGCGTAGAAAAAATTAGCGGAAATCCTGAGAGGTCTGCTGTACTGCTTGACGGCGATAAAGTGAGAGCGTGGCAATGAGAAGCCGCTGTACTCGAAGGAATATTCTTGCAGAGATTTGAAACCGGTCAGGGCGTACAGATTGATCACGAAGTCGATGACGTTTTCGTACAAGGCATCGTCGTCCTGCATCCAGGTTATCGTCGAGTCGTTGAACGGCCAAGCGTCTCGAAACTCGTCGTTGCCGAAAATCACCAGGTCGATGCTGAAGCTGAAGTTCAGAGCCTTGGCGATGGCCTTGGTCAACGAGTAAAACTGGCCGATGAGGACGTCCTTGGGATCGTCGCTCGCGTTGACGCACACGTCCATCACGGCGTCGGGATACCAGAGAATGACGCCGGCTCGCAGCGGGTAGCCGTTTAATTGGCTCAGTTTTTGGCTCTCGAAGTCGATCGCCGCCTGGTCCAACGACGCCGATCCAAAGCATCGGTACTGATTGGTAAATGGATTGAAATGATGCGATACGATTTCCATATCGATCGCACTGTTTCCTTGGATAAAGCGATTATAAGTGAGACGTTGTCGTCTTTGAATCTCAAATACAGTTACGTATAAAAACTCGTTGCTCCAGGTGTAGTTGAAGAAAGATCGAAGATTCGTAGACGTATTGGAAAAATGGTCGAGAGTAAACACGATCAAGCATTTCGGTCGCACCAATTTTCCAACGACGTCGAGTAAAAATCGAATGTTATCCACGAGGCGATCTTGGAGCTCCTCGTCACTCGACACCCCCATCAGCAAGATGCTCAAGTGTCGTCTCTCGGACCACTCGCGAAGCGTCAAATTCCTCGAGGCTGCCTTATCGTGATCGTTCGCCAGCGCGGTCGCACTCCTCTCAAAGACGACGGCTGGAAAGCGACGGAGTACGGCTTTCAAGAAGAGTCGCGATTCGCGCGAGAGGCAACGCAACGAGTCGACGATAACGGAGATTTTGGCCGAGCCTCGATTGTACTTGTGCAAAAAGTCCATGGTGCGTCTCAGTGTCGCGTCCGAGGCTTGGTGATCCATCATCGACCCAGCAGCGACAAGTACAAGGCAGAACAGCTTCGCCGAGCAGCAGCGACTCATTTTTGCTCGCAGATAATGCGTTCTGGGAAAAAACGCACGAACGCCAACTATTTACATTTGTAATTGACGATGAGAGAGAAAAAAAACATTCACTTTATCGATCTAGGCGGGAATCGATTCAGTCGTCTGTGGAGCAATATATAAATTCATCGGGAGCAGCGCCGAGGCAATTATTTTCTGCAGCTGACGCGCGCGCGCGCTAATGCGATTAGCTGCGCCTGACAATGAACCGAATGAAAGTAAATCAATAAATTTAATCGGCTTTATACGCAACTGGAAATGCATGACAATTTTCGAATGAACGATATTAATGCGCTCGCCGATGCTTCGCGTGATATTGAATGGCAGATCGCGATGAAACTTGGATTTCTCTGACTGCTGGATCTCAAATGTATCCCGTCTCTGTATATCTATATAATAATCTACAATTAGAACTTTGCGAGATTGTTTTTGCAAGGTTCTCTCTTTCTGTTGAGCGAAAAAATGATCGAACACGCGTCCTAGCCAAACAAACTTTCTCTTTTTCCGTTGCCTGCGCGCCGACACGGCAAATGCACTGAGCTTGCGGCTCTCGACTCGATGCACAGCTGCACCAAGGCCCGCGTGGGAATTTTCGCTGACGATTTTTTTTCTTCCTTGCAGGAGTCGAGGAAACTGCGAGGCTGATACGCGAGGCCGGTGGAAAATGTTGGGCGTACCGTTGCGACGTGAGCGATCGAGAGGACGTTTACACGACCGCCAAAGCCGTCAAACTCGAAGCTGGAAATGTCCGTGATGAATTTCGTTTCTTTTCTTTATTTTAACTCTGGCTGAAACACGAATCTGAACGCGAGCTCATTGTTGCTTTCAGGTGACGATTTTGGTGAACAACGCCGGCTACGTCTACGGTCAGACTCTATTAGATATTCCAGATGACGAAATCGAGCGGACGTTCAAAGTAAACATTATATCTCATTACTGGGTAAGTTGAGAATTTCATTATTGCTGAGAATGGAGTATTTTTTTTTTGTTAAAGAACCGCTAAAGCGTTAAGTACACAAAAATGACCTACTAATGGGAGTGGAGAAAAAAAAAAGAAAGACTCGCCTCGTGCGTAGTTTTGCGAAACTCCGGTCGCGCGTGTGTGTGCTTTTGCATTCTTGGAATTCGTCGCGCGTACTGTATATACAACTGATTGCGATCGATTTTCACAGACGACCAAAGCTTTTCTGAAAGAAATGATGAGAGAAAATCACGGCCACATTGTGACCATTGCCAGTGTCGCCGGCTTGCTCGGCACCTACAATTGCACCGACTATTCGGCCACCAAGTTCGCGGCCGTGGGATATCACGAAAGTCTTTTCACTGAATTGAAAGTGAGTAAATGCAAATTACATGCCTGTGAGCGCATAATACCATGGATACATTTTTACTGGAATTCGTTCTTTTTTTTTCGTTACACTTCTCTACCGTTTAGACTCACGGCTACGATGGTATCAATACAACTTGTGTTTGCCCTTATTACATAAATACGGGCATGTTCAGTGGAGTCAAGCCTAGGTAAGATTATTTTACAAAAATAACGTTGCTTTCACAGAGTAAAAAATTTATTAACAAAACATGAACAAAACGAATACAAAACACATTCACACTTTCGCTACACTATTAATTTGACATGGTAATTGTATACTGTTATAATCTAATTATCATCGGTACTCGTGCCTCACGAATAGATTGAAGCCGATGCTTGAGCCAGAATATGTTGCCAGTGAGGTCGTGGCAGCAATAGCGACCAATGAAGTTTGGGTGATATTGCCCAGGATGATCCGATTCGTCTTGCCGCTGAAATTGTAATTGAAATGACAACTTTTTTTGCTACGTTTAATATTGCACTCTAAATATTTTATAATCGATTTTTGTCATTTCTTTCAGCTTGCTGCCTTCAAAAGTTTGCTGGGCACTGATGTATCATGTTATGCAAGGACCCCAAACAATGATGATGCTCAAACGTGGAGAGAAGAAAATTCAGTAAAATAATAATTTCCGTTGTAAATTATAAATACTCCTTACAACTTTCATGACTGTGAATATTTTATCATACTTGTAAATATCACACGTAGTTCGTATTTTAACTTATAGTTAAAAATACTGTTAAATTATAAGTTTGTTGCTGTTAGTGATCACAATATATCCATGAAATAGTTTAAACCCTGTCCAAGTTCCCAAATTGCAATTCCAACTTTCATCTCCACAGCTAATTCCAATCTGCTCATTAATGAGTAAAGAGTTGGGAAGAACACATAGCCTGGGTTATCTTTGGCCCTGAAATAACATAAGTGTACAATTATAGCATAATTTTAGTTTTTAGAGCAAAAATCAAAACACACTTTATTGTAAAATTTAATCCAATAAAAAATCAATTTTTATAAGTAATTAGGATTTAATTTAAAGTACTTACTTTACTTCAAAGAAATGTTCTTCACTTTCATCATCCCATTGAAGTTTTCCTTTGTGTTTTTCAAGTAATTCAAGGTACTGCGAACCAACTATTGGACCACCTCCAGATGGTGTATAATGATATCCATAGAAATTCAATCCCATTAAAATTTGAGCTCTCCTAACATCATTTGTTTTTGGAACAAGAGCTTTAATGCAGTTACGTATCCAATCAACTGGGGCATTAGGACCAGGTCTATGTACACTTGAAAAATCATAAGTCATTACCGAAAAGTATCGGATATGAGGTGAAAGCTCTTCAAAATCTTCTTTCGTAAAGAGTTCATTTTCCATTCTATAAAAGTAATATTGAATTTAAGACCAAGAGATACAAAAAGAATGTGAAAAATTAAAAATTCATATCACTGTACTTTCTCTGAGCTGGAATTGCTAAAATAGTGTCTAGATCATTTTCTCTCAAACCATCAGCAATTGAAGTAATAAGTGCAGTCAAAATACTTTTTCTCACACCTGCCATTAAAAATTGATTCCAAATTTCCAAAACATATCCATCAAATGAATTGGTCTAAAAAAAAATTAAATTTAGAAATTTAAAAGAAAATTACATTGATTATAATCTACATTAATATGGAAAATGTACTTCAGCTAAACTAATGAGCATATCGATAAATCTATGTCTCTTTTGAAGATCATGGAAAATTTCTTCAACGTGGTCACTCGTCCACCTGTCAAATAGTATTCGTGGCAATACTAAAAATAAACAATTGATAAAATTAAGTTTTCAATTTTTGATAATTAATTTCTATAAATAAAAGAATATATTACTTTTTACTGAATGTTTTTTAGTATTAGCATCTTGCATACTCTTAAGCCACTTTTTATCCATATCATGTACTGGAATTTTAAATGGATGTCCTCCTTGAATAACAAACCAAACTGGAGACACCAGATCAAATTTTTTGTGAAACTTTTTTGCCCTGTCGTAGCCTGCACCATTCCACTAAAAAGTTTAAATTATTAGTCTTGTTACGCGATGAAAATATCTGACAATTCTTACTGGTGTTATGTAGCCAAGAACTTCTCCAGGCACATAGTGCCTAATATTTGTATGTTTGCTCAGTATATCAGCTTCTCTTAAAATGTCTTTTGCTGTAACATCTCTTCTTACTAGTTGTCTTTGAAAAACGTCTTTTTCTGATACTTCTGGCTGCAATGAGTGTCATTTACAATATTTGAAGTAGATGTGTGAAATAATGAATTGGGTATGCATTTGAAATGGTTTTACCTTCTTCTTTTCATTTTTAGCGTCATCTTTGTTTTTTTTATTCTTTTTCTTATCATCCCTCGCAGAATTTGGCGACAAAGTTGCACTCGCGATTGATATTAATATCAAAATACTCAATATAAGAAAAGTAATCTTCATTTTATGAAAGATATGAAAGTCTGAACAGCAGCCGTAGCACAAGTGAAATGCGGCTGGTACTGTTAGCGTGTCTGCGCCTGCTTAATGCCTGTGACAGACGCCGCCACGATCCTCGTGCCGCTAAATGTTGTGACTTGTGCAGAAATATGTTGGCGCGCGTGCGTGACTCGGTAAGAGATAAAACCCAGGTTTGAACGAGTAACGCGGGAAAATGAACTTTATAATCAATTTTGCACCATGTATGATGTTAACGATATGGTTTTAGCGAGTGACACTTTTTTTGAGCCTATGTACCTCGTAACTCGGTAAAATCGTTCATTAAATTTGATATTTACAGGAAGTACATTGGCCATGTATCGGCTGCATTTCGCTATCATTCTCACGCTCGGATATAAAACATCATGTGCTACAGGCGACAATACAGTGAGCACTTTAGGAGAGTCTCAAAACTACATGAATGGAAACACCCTCATGAAAGTCACGATTACTTACGGTCACGAACAATTACGTCAAAGGCTCGATCGAACAATCGCTGCATTTCCGTAAAGTGTCAGTCGATTCGGTTTTGGTTTATTCATAGAATATCTCATGTCTTTATAAACCTTTGGAGCTGTTGACACAACAAATAAATTGAAATGGAAAAGTATGAAATAAACATTATACTTTTGGAAAAAATGGCAAATCAATAGTTTATTTTAAAGCATTGGGAGAAGGCGTGGATCCGCTGAAAGTTTTCGATGGAAATCAGTCGAGCGATCGAGCAAAGATACATCGAAGCACATGCGATCGAAATCACGTCGAACATTTCGCCGCAGACATAATGTATTCACGGCATACGCGCGTATGTATATTGGTGCTAGGCTCGCGCTTTGGTATAATATAAAGATTTAGCTGCTAAATATCCACATAATAAAGACAACTTTCACCCGTCGAGTGTGCATATAAAAATGTAAAATCTCGAAATTTCACCAAAAATCGCGGCTAATTTTGTTTTCCTCTTTTTCTCGGTCCCTTCTCCTTTCGAGTTTCCATGTGCAGCCGCACACACACACATACACACACAGACGCAGAGGCGCCGATAACCGATTTTATACCGTCGAGCAGGCCGCAAAACTGTCTCTCGGCGAATCTCTTCAGACGCTCGCACTCGCACGCGGATACAAAGGCGAGATGTAAAAGTCCCCGTGGAATATGGCACTAGTCGAGCTGTACAGTGAGCTCGGTGGGAGAGCCGAGAGCTTGAGGCCCGTCATATTATAGCCGACTGTTATATACCGATAGTTTGAAAGTGCGAGGCAAGCTGCAACGACTGCTGCTACTGCGAGTGTGTTTATGCATGCAAGTGCAGTGATCGGTAGCGAAAAATCACGGCGCGCGACTTTCCTTCTCTCGAGCGGCGAACGCGACTCGCGAGTTCGAGTTGGCCGATACCAGCCTGAAATATCGTCCGAATAATAATGCTGTAGGCCATCAACGAGATCGCGTCAGTGCAGCCCTATTTCTAATGTGAGATAAGAAGATTGTGCGAAAAGTGGAATTTCAGTTGCGTAGCGGTGCCAAGTGTTTCCATTGCGCGCGAACGCGATGTCGCGCTCGAACCGATCGAGCATCGCTTTCGTCTGGTTCGTCGTCAATTGTTGCACTTTCGCATACTCTGGTGAGTTCATTCCTGTTCTTTTTTCAATCGATGATTATCTATTCTTTAAATTGCGGCAAAGCCGCTCGTGTTTGTACATATTAGGCTCTATCGAACCATAATTGATTTATTTATGAAAAAAAAACTCACTGCGCTTGTCTGAAATGACAAACGATGAGAAGCATCGATCGTTTCGACTTATGCCGTACATGGTCGCACAATAGAGAAGCGCAGCGGCAATTGTCCAACCCGCCAAACGTTATAGCACTTCGACAAATGTATAATAATACGCTGCAAGACACGCCGAGTATTAGAAAGTGCGAACACATTTACACATAAATTGCCCATAAATCGACAGCGTCGGTTGCGCCGCGCGCTCGAGGGGAAATCTGCGAGCTGCATAATGTTGTTTTTTTTTCGGAATAATTAAGTGTCACTGCCAACGTACTCATTGATCGTAAACGACCGAATAAAAGCGATATCACTCTCGTATATTACTTTCGCTCGAGATAAGCAGGCGATTAAAGGTAAACGCAGTCGGCGGAAATTGTTTCGACGCATCCTGATCACGATGAGTACATACACACGCAGCGGCAATACGATCGAGCCTTGACCCACTGAACAAGTTCGAGGTTAACGCTTCGTCGGCCGCATAGAAAGCTATACTTAATATGCCATTGCACTCGCTATCCGCGCGCGGCCGTCCTTTGTAAGCCACTTTTTCGCCCAACGTACGTATATAATGATCGGTAACGGGGGAAATTGTGCATAAACGCGCAGAGCCGAGTATTACGACGATTTCTTCGTCCAAGACTGGGGGAAATGGCCATAAAGCTCGATCGCGTGAGCATTTCCTGCGCCAGCCGAGAAAAGTCGACCCAAATGAATCAGGCGCGCAATCACGTATCATTATACTTCCGTAAATAATCCCTCGATACGACGTCTTTCACTCGTGCGCGCGTGGCTAATTCGCGCTTGCTCGAGAGCTTGTCCATCTATATACGTGCGCGAATGCAGTCGCGCGTCTCGTAAGATACGCGCCAGCATCTGTACATACAATGTAACGAAAATTACATAAAGCTGCGCTGCTGTGCGCTCGAGCTCCAGCGCGGCTTACATAAAAATGCTCCCGAGCTGCATCGCTGTCTCTTTCTCTATGCCACAACTATGTATATAGTCTCGAGAAAAAGCCCGTATCATAATAGCTTCGTGTGGCATTAGTAAAAGTATATACAGCTATACGCTCGTTATTATATATTTTTTGCTCATCCACAACACGCTTCGTGCTTTTTTTTCTTCTCGCGCGACTTTCGGATCGGATGTAAGCGGCGATAAGGTCGGATCGCAACATTTCCCACGCGTATACTGTACGCGGACCTGCGAATACGTATCGCGCGCGATGCATATAGAGATCGTCGATCCGAGCGCCGATCCGATCGCAGCCGGAAGAGAAACTCGAGCGATATTAATATTTGCCTCGAGTGGCCTCTTGTGTCTCGTGCGACCTCTCTATCATAATTCGATAGTAACGCTCCTAGTGAATCTCTGAACGAAATTCCATATTGTCGATCTGTCTCGCAATTCTTGCAATACGCTTTATAGTGAAAAAAATTGGGGTTGTAAAAGCAAAGTCAACGAAATAGCTCGTGTATAATAAGACCATAGCACGCGATTGGCGCTCGCGAGTCGAGAGAAAGCAGGTGTCATTATATTATTAGCTATGATGAAAGTGAATTAGCCTATACGAGCTGCGTGTGTATTATACGCGTGCAATATATTGCTTTTACGGGCGAGCAATTGCAATAGGTCGCTTTGAAAATTACGACTATAATATATAATGTCTGAAGTACTAATAGTCCTGATTATGTTATTTGGAAACATTGTCGAGGCTATTCTAATATTACACATTATTATAGCGTCGAGATGGTACTGCATTGTTTGTACGTATACGCAGATTATTGATTGATATAGTTTGACATTATGCAACCAAATTAGGGTAAACACTGCCATTTCCAACCAATGACACGTGTCATTCATAAAGTTGATAGCCATAGAGTAACGACTATTTTCATCGACTCCAAATTCATGCGGCATAATGAGTATTCGTTGCATTCATCCCAAAGAGCGCTTGATAATTTGTCGATCGATGAATTCTCGCGTCTTTTCTGTCAGCAGACATTAAAGCAAATATTTTCCAAGGCGCGAGCGTGCGAACGATGAAAAAATCAGGGCAACAATTCAGTCGGGGCAATTATCAATCAACGTTATATGAGTGTTTTGTTGCAGCGATCAAGGTAAACTCGAAAGAGCCCACAGCGACTCGAGCACCATGCCTAGGTGACAGTCAATTCTATCGGAACCCCAGGACGGCCCAGCACTTGCTATGGACAGCGGCCGAGTGCTCAAAGTATTATCTTTGCTTAGGTAAGATTTCATTATTCGTACTTTTTTCATTCACCTCAACTGCTCATAGTAACGTAAGTCTGGTTTGCTTGTAAATAATTTTACCGAAGCTTTGAAGGTAAAATTGAATTATGAAGGTACGACAAAAAGTCTAATTGTAAGATAGCCATTGCGTTAAATTTTTTTCTGTCGGCTGCGAGCAATGCGAGTTATTATCGAATTAATTAAAAATTTAACGAGGTGACGTATCGCGTACTCGAAACTATCAAAGATTTAACGGCAAACATTGAACTTAATTGACGCTTTCGATGCTCTCAACTTTCGAAATAAGTGCTTCTGATAATAGTTCGAAACTTTATAAAAATTAAAAAAAAATTAAAATCAAACGTTTTGTAAACGTCTGCTCTACTTTTGATATGACCCGAGTATCACTGTGGTATACGCAATAACGTCATCCTCCAGTTTTTTTTCATTGAAAAAACATACCACAGGATTTGAACTAGTTATACAACTTGGCGTGCGAGCTCAATTATTTCATTCTCTCCTATGGGTGTTATACTAGTTCTTAGGTGAGATACACGAAATTGCATCAAGTTTGTGTGATTTGAAAATTCTCATTTTAATTAGCAAACTAATTACACATTTTTTTCTGTCATTTTTCATATTTTGTTTCAATCACGGAGTCAACAAGTCGAAAAATGATCATTAATTTAAAAATAAAACGTATTTTGAGTTGGATACAATTTGATCGCAATATGTCTCTTCGATGTCGTAGATGAAGAAGTATTTGAGTTCAAATGCTCGCAAGGATTGCTGTTCGACGTTACCCGTCAGATCTGCGACTTCAAGACCAACATAGACAATTGCGACGTAATACTAGGTGAGAAAATTTTTACATCTACTCACGTACGAGCGATTAGTCGCTCGACGACATAACTCGATTTTCCGCGTAACACATTTTACAGCCGACGAAGAGCCGACAAAGCCACAGGCCGAAAATGGAAGTTGCGACGAAGGCAGCACGGCTTGCGGCGACGGCAGCTGCCTCGCGACTCACTACTTCTGCGACGGTAACCCAGACTGCCCGGACGCATCTGACGAGGCCTGGTGCGGTGAGTAATTTCGCAATTTCTTCAGACTGGCAATAACGTAACGAGCTGCCTGACTTTCTTCTATCCGCCAGAAAATCGAAGCGACGTCAACGGGGCTCTGCCCTGCGACAGGAGCCGCTGCAAACTTCCGCACTGCTGGTGCTCGGAGGATGGCACCGATATACCGGGGAATCTGACCTCGCCCGAAATACCACAGATGATCACTTTGAGCTTCGAGGATGCCGTGAATCCGGACAATTTCGATTCCTTCATCAGTGAGTATTGGACTGAGTTTAAAACGTTGTTTGAACTTGATTTACCGATTTTTTCTCGCTCTAGAAATGTTCACGGACGATCGGAAAAATCCGAACGGCTGCCCGATAAGAGCCACTTTTTTTGTTAGCCATCAATACACGAATTATAGAGATGTGCAGCATTTGTGGAATCTTGGCCACGAAATTGCTATTCATTCAGTAACGTAAGTTAATTTACGCACTTTAGACGTCACTTTTGACGTCGAGAAATGAGTACATTTTTTATTTTATTGCTCACGCAGGCATCGGGGACCCGAGGATTGGTGGATGCAAAACGCCACCGTCGAAGACTGGTTCGATGAAATGGTCGGAGAAGCCAACATTATTAACAGATTTGCAGGGGTGCGAATGCAAGATATTAAAGGTACGCAAGAACTTAACATAGGGCTTTTGACTTTTCAGAAAACTAATTGAGCGAAATCGTTCGATGTAGGTATGAGAGTTCCTTATCTCAGGGTTGGATGGAATCGTCAATTTTTGATGATGACTGAGTTCGGTTTCGTGTATGACTCAAGCATAGTTGCGCCGCCATCCAGTCACCCCATTTGGCCTTACACTTTGGATTATCAGGCTCCGCATGTGTGTGCCGAAACGGGACAAATGTGTCCAACTAGATCGTATCCAGGAATTTGGGAAATTCCTATTAATCCTCTTCTTGTAGGGGTAAGATGCTTTTTGGAAAATATTTCTCATTGACACTCATTAACTTGAGAAGATCCTAATAAGTAAGTTTATTGCAGGATCAAAATTGTCAAACATTTGAGTCATGTTCAATGGATTTAACAGAAGATGAAATTTATGGCACTTTGATGAATAATTTTAAAATGCATTATTCAAGTAATCGAGCACCTTTGGGTTTACATTTCTCAACTGCATGGATAAAAAATTCCAAGAACTTTTTAGCACTATCGGTCGGTATATCAAAATTCTGTTACTAGACTCAGAATAAGGTTTATATTTTTCTTTTTCTTGTAATGAAATATCTTCAATTTTTCAGAAATTTGTTGAGGATGTGTTACGCCTGCCAGATGTTTATTTCGTAACGAACCAACAGATTCTTGAATGGATGAGACATCCAAGGAAATTAGAAAGCTTACGAGCTTTTGGCCCATGGCACTGTTACAATAAAAAACTTGATACCCATGAAATAGCCTGTGATTTGCCAAATTTATGTAAATTACCTAGCAGAGTACTCAAGACTCATAGATACTTACAAACATGTTTCGATTGTCCTAAGCAGTATCCTTGGTTGAGAAACGAGTTTGGACACGAATAAGCTAATAAAGCCTTATTTTTTATTATTATTAAAGAATTGATGAATATCGATTACTGTGAATACAATAGTGGTATTGAGATGACTGAGTATTTAAATAAGTTTTAGAATTAATTTCATACAGTTTTAAAATTAATTGTATTAAGTATCAAAATTTAAAGAATCATTATAAATTAATGCTTAACATTTTTTTACAAAGGTAAGAAAAAATTGAAATGGTTATTGTTGTCATAACGAAGTAATAATAATAATAATAATTTTACGTATAAAATAATATTTAATATGCATGTTCTCATATTATCTTTGATAAATATGTACAAGCGCTTAGCTATCTTACAATAATTGAATACTTTTATAATCAGAATATTATAAAAATAAACTCAGCTTTTGAAATCACCAATAAATCACTACTCTTGTTGTACAAAAGGATTTGGAATAGCCTCCATGCCATCAACAGGACAAATCAATACCACTGATGTACCTCTACAAACGACAAGTCCTAATCCTCTTGTATCTTGATTGAGTTTGTACGGATCATCAGAATCTAAATAGAAATATACATTGTAAAATAACTCCCATTTATAATAAAAACTATTAAAATTTACTAAACACACCTCTCAAATATTCTGTAGTATTATCCAACACAAGGTTGAGAAGGGGATCATATCCTTTCAAAATGCCAGAAGCCTCTCTGCCTCCAGCGAATTTGACTCTGATGTTTTTCTCCAAATACTTGGAGAGATCCAAGATACTTTCTTTCCTTTTCTTTTCTTTTTGATCATTTTGAGCACTGGTAGGCGTCTGCAATTCCATAAAAAAAAATTAATTTCGAAATATTCTTAGTAAATAATATATAGGTTATCTTGTAGAGTTGTCAATTTTATCACCCACGATTTGGGTGCTTATGGGTATTTAAAAAATAAAATTACGTACACCCTATAAAAAAAACGTGCCTCTCGATCAGAGTACAGCAATAAATGTTTATTTAAAGTACTTACAGACATAATTGATGTTTTATATCGGACAAATGTGACTTGAAAGGCACCGACAAACGCGCGAACAGTCAGCGTATACACAACAACTCGCGGTGTACGTTTGCACTTTGCAGACTGCAGAGTCACAGCTCACAGCCACAGCCAGACCACAGCACATGCTTACGGCAAAACAAGCTTTACTTGCAGCATGGGACAGGCCACGGCGTGCCGTAAATAATTTGTCACGATTGAAAATGACATTTTATCCAAGTAATCTAAAGTTTGTTCATTAGATGAATATTTGAATACAAAATCTACTTTTTGTAGCAAATGAAATTTTTATTGAGCACTATCTTTTTAATTTTCAATAGTAACTGTTTCGATGTAAATTACAAAAAGCTCAAAATTAACATCTTTAACGTTTCAATAATTATTAAAATTCCTTAATTCGCAAGACAATGATATCAGCTTATTTACTTTGCATGTATAGGATGCTCAATTGAAGCTCGTAGAAACCTACTAAATTGAAAAGTTTTCGGTGGGAAGATAGAAAAAATGATTGATATAGTTTGCTTTTGTTTATATTGCCAAATAATTTCTAGATTTCTAAACGTCCTTTTTCAGTTTAACTTGTAATTTTCAAAAACTACTGGTCGATTTGAAAATTGATCAGTAACTTTCAAATACCTTTTGTTCAGATAGTGTTCTTTTGTTAAAAAAATTACGACTATTCTTTTGATGTAAAAAAGAAAGATTTTCTGCATTTTAATAATTCCATAAATAAAATAAGAAAATCAACCGTGAGATGAATCATTGACATCTCAGTGGTATTGACAATTTTTATGTAATTTTTGTTGATTGATCAATCAATCATAATTCATCTCAAAGATATAAAATGCATAAAAAGAGCTGAAACGTTTTGTGAAGTGGGTTTCAATCAAGATCAAGCCATTAGACAAAAAATTGAGTTTTCTTTTTTATTGTGGAGTCACAAAAATAGTTTTCAATCAATTGTTAATTTGTCGTTTTGTATATTATCTGTTCTTGTAGTAACTTGATGAATTGACACTATTTTGGTACTTTAACATTTCAATAGATGATCTGTGTAAATTCTACAAATTTATAATATGGTTTGAATGAAAAAAAGTATTAAATGAATGTTTAAAAAAATTATTGTTTAATTCTATTTTTCCACCTCATAGATTTCTTTTTTAAATTTAACCATTACATATATTACGTTTTTACTGCGTATAAAATATTTGAATGAATTTTTACAGCATATTATACATAAATACGTCAGCTTTATAAAATACTTAAAGAAAATACATGAGTTAGAAATCAAGTGAAAACTTGATAATTCTTAATTCACTGAAAATTGAAATAAATTGCTATTCAAGAGCTCTATAAAATAAAAAGCTAAGTTTAAAGAAATTTCATGTGAATATATTAGTTTTAAAATTTGTCTCCAGTAAATACATTATCAACAGGTATAACAAAATACATTAACATCAGAGCACGATTCATATTTTTTAAATTAATTAGTAGACATTTGGTAACACAACAAACTGACAGCACCAAGTTCAACTTTTTAGTAAAAAAGTACTAAATTACTGTCTGTTAAATTTGACACTATCACTGTGTAGTTTTCTTTTTCACAATTTCAACTAAGTATCGATAACGTGCTTGACATTCTTCCTGCAAATGAAACAAAAATAGAAATGAATTATGAAAATGGATTTGTAATTTAATTATAAGTTATTTACTAACCTTTGTTTTTCCTTCAATACAAGCAGCTATTTTCTCCCATCTGTCGGTTGAAGCTCCTTTTGGATACTTCAACAAAGCAGCTTCCAGGGCTTTTTGTTGTTCTTGACTCCATTCAGTCAAGGACTCAACAACTTCAGCCCTAGTTTTCACTTTTTTTGGTGCTTCTTCAATTACAACATCGTCTGATGGTTGAGTGGGTTTTAAACCTTCATCTTTAACTTTTTTGGCCATGTGAGTTACTTCAAAAACAGTACGATTCATCAAGTCTGCTATTTTCTCCCATCGATCAGGTGTCCCTCCTGGATACTTTTTTACTAATTTGATAAGTTCTAAAATATCATCATCAGTCCACAAACCACCGCTAACCCTAGGTTTTTCTGTTTCCACAATAGGTTTAACATAACTATTTCTAATTACTTGTTGCTTCTGTTGATATTCACTGCGTTCTTGAGGTGTGAAGCCTTGTCTTCGTCGTCGAGGACCACGTGGTACAGGTTCTGGTTCTGGTTCTTCTTCTTGAGCTCTAAAGATATAAAAAAAAGTTTAAGTATCATGAACAACCAATTTTAATTTCTGAAAAATTTCAAAATTAAAAATATAATTCAAAAGTTAAAATGCAACTAACAGAGCTTCTTCTTCCTCTTGCTTTTTCCGTTGTTTCCTCTCTTCTAATATTCTATTTAAATTACGAATAGCAGATGGAATGCCAACAATTGAACAATATGTCCATTTTGGTAATTGAAATGGAAGTGTATTCCACATACTAGGTGTAGGAATCTTCTCTAAAATTTCTGCTAAATCTGGTACATCCATTTTACCTTTTCTATTCTTTTTTTGTAGCTTTTGAAGTTTGCTACCTAATACTTGTTCCTGAAAAAGAAATAATAATGAGAAAATTGTGTAAAAACTTACAATTCTATATAAAAACAATAATTGCTTATTTCAAACTTACGTAAGTATATCTTTTTTCAAAATAAGCAGCCCATGCTACTAGATACTGTCCAATAGTTATAATAATGAATAAAATAATGCTAAGCTCCAAAATACCCATTTTCCGTACATGACGGTAATAATATACAGCAGATCGCCAATTTGGCAATCCATTGATGAGAACATTATTGTAATACTCTCTTTTCTTTGAATCTTTGAGTACATCGTAAACCGATACCAGCTGGAATTACAATTACATATTGTATCAAGTCAATTGCCATGAATTTAAGACTGAAAAAATTAAAAGAAAAAATACTTACATTTCTGAACTGTACTTCAGCATCATCTGCACTATTTTTGTCTGGATGAAGTACTAATGATAGCCTACGAAAAGCTCTCTTAATATCTGAAGAATTGGCATTCTGAAATAATGTTTTTATTATATTTAATGATGCATCAATTTATCTTTTAATTTACAAAATTTGAATGCCATATGGCCAGCACTACAAATAAATTAAAATTTCTAATTTAATTATTTAACTTATTTTAGAAACAATTGATACAGTTTTTGCTTAATCTGCAAATATTTAACTTGCTGACAAATGAAATATTAGATTTTGACGATAATCATTTATTTATCATGAAAAAAAACGTGATAAACCGAGTAATTCAATAGCGTAGAATCGTGAAAGTAATAATTGAAATATGACAGTGATAAAAGTAATTTTATAAGTAGCTTTAGCATAGGTAAACACGATATGTTGTGTCCATTATGTTATGCAGGATCGCGCACGCATGCCACATCTGTTGCATTCATAATGAGCCCGCTACATAGTACATGGCAGTCAAGAGGTCTGGCAATGGGCAAGAGGATTGAATTACCTGCGGCACGCCGAGCAGCTCGTAAAAGTTCTGATTGACCTCCTCGACGACGTCGAAGACCTCGAGCTCCTCGTTGTCCCAGGCGTGAGCTTGGTCCAGCAGTAGGCACGCCAGCAGCGCGCACAACACCAGCAGTCTCGTCATTTTATTATTCCGGTAAGTGGCATAGGTCGCCCGAACGCGCTCAGCATTCGTTTTCACGCACCACTAGGCCGCCGCACTCGGGATCGCTAATTAAGTCGTTCCTGGCTCAATTACTGTGTGTCGCTCGTCGCTATCTCGATAGCTGCATGGCTCCGAGTTGACTGCGGAGGACTGGAAGTTTTACTCGAGGCGATTACAAGCGCCGTAGGCCCGTGCTGTGCTACTCGCGACTTCGATCGCGAGGGCAGGAAAAGTCAAACTGAAAAGGAGACGTCTGCCGAGACGTGTGGAATAGCAGCCGGCAATCGCTCTCGGATACAATATGCATGCGAAAACCTGCTTACATGTAGACGCGCCACGCGAGCAGACGCGTTAGACATGCCCTAAAGTTGGCACACTTGCCGTTAACACGACTGCTTCGAATCACGAATGTTTATTTGACTCGTGTCGTCTGGAAAAATTTTGTCAATTTCCAGTAACTTAACATTTTTATTCTAAAAATGCTTAATTTTTTATTGATTCAATTTATCAACATTGACTCTTTTTTTTATAAATTTTCATACTATCTCATTTTCGTTGAGTAAAAGTCTCAAGTAAAATAAGTTATTTTTGTCATCAATAATCCATATGCTCATACATTATTATTTCGTATCGTGACGGAAATTTAGCTCGTTTGTCGATGCAGCGACAACTAATTGGTTGCAGCAGGTAAGCAATTGTGTAATTTTTGCCTCTTTATCAGGCCGAGACAGTATTTATTACACTTGCTTTGTGTAATTGGCATCGGTTCCAATGTACTATCTAAAATAAACATATTTAAATTTTTCGTTGAGAATGTAGGTAGGGTTTCGAGCACGAATTGTAAAAGGCTCTAAATAATTCGCATGGAAATTGGCTCATAATTTTATACGCTCGTTGAGACTTGTCACGACGTCGAAAGAAAAATACACGTGTGTTGAACGAGTACGTTAAAAATCCATGCCTGCACAGTCGGTCAGTGGCAGCGAGCAACGATACATGATATAGGTATAAGGTGCAAGACATCGAGCAGGCGTTCGCTGAAAAGGTCGCATAGCTGCCAATGGCACAGGCGCTAAATAACACAGGCGAGCTGGAGAGAAATCCGAGCTCGCGCCTCGTGCCTCGCTGTGCAGCAGTAGGCAGCCGCGAGCCATAACACAGGCCAGAGGGAGAATCACAACAATGCGCGCGCCAACTCGAGCAGGTGTCGTTGTCGAAGGGGCGCCGCCGCCGCGGCTGGTCCTGTTTGCGTCGTCGTAAGCGTCGATCGACCGAGTTGTGCACTTGCAAAGCTCGAGGCTGATACTCGTCGAAGCGCTGAATCAGTATTCTCGAGGAAGGCCCGCGCCTGATATGCCTCGGCGTCCGGACTCGCTCCTCTTCTGCTCCTTCTTCCACCTGCTGTTGCTGCTTTTGCAATCAACCCGACAAGTAAGCTCCTCGATACATCGAGTCATTATTCATTTCTGTGCCAGAGGTACATTGCGCCTAGTGTATGTCAATGTAATGCTCGCGTGATACTTTCGATGCACTCGATACGTAATTGCGACCTATCGGAAGAAACGAGCGGGACACTGTGTCAGTCAGTCGTGTCGCGCACTCGAGCAGCCAAGCAATCGATCGATAAACCTCGTTTAGGCCAGCCACGCGTTTCTGGGGGGCGTACCAAACGCCTCAAGCAGGCCTAAGTACGCGCAATATGTAGAGTCGAGCTTTTTCTGCAGTACGCGACGATCTCTCAATGGCACGACGTATATACGATTGCCCGTGTAGCGCACAGGTATACCCGAGCCGAGGATCCATTGCCAACCTTGCTGCTAAAAAAAGATCCTTCGGCCTTGCGCGCCTCGCAAGTCGCACTAGCTCGCGTCGAGTCTCGGCAATCGCGAGCTTGCGACCGAGCACGAGTATTCGCGTGCGTCCAGTAGAGAAGTTGGCGCGCGAATCGTGCAGCTCGCGCCAAGGCCGATGATTATTCGCTCTGCACGCATGACTCGCGCGTAAATGCACCGGTTATATCTAGGCACACAATAAGTATTCGATAAGCGCACAATCGAGCCTTGAAATTATCAAAACGACGATCGATTTCTTTTTTTTTGCGCATCCCTAATTCTTACTTGCATGAATTTTGCTCGATTCTTTTGCGGCAGAGCCTGCGATGAAATTGGCTCGGTCCTCAAAGAATTGTTAGGAAATCTAATTGGCCTTTATCGAAAGAATATGTTTTTTCCTGCTCTTATGCCAGTTGTAGATAATATGATAGTGAGCTTGCACACGATCGTGCCTCGAGCGTTCTCATCGTTCGCAGCCCTTCTCATCTCGTCTCGACGAAAGCCCATTTGGACCCGAGCTTGCGGATGTCGGCTCTTTGATTTTCCCCGCGCGCCTATATGCACTCGAGCACAGATAGGTGTATCGGCCTGCAACTGTGCTTTTCTCGCGTCTGCGCGCATCCGCTGCGAGTGCGGCGTTCCTAGTAGTCAGCAGCGAACGCGAACGTCCAGCTGCGTCGATCGGACGCGGATACACACACGTACATCTTCGTTCAACTGCACCCTTTCTACTTTATCCCTCGGCCAAAGTCGACTGGCACATACGCACCAGACGCGCACCCGACGCGCAGTGTCTTCCAACGTCTCGTTTCGCGCAGCTTTTGCTGCAACGTCTCGTAATCGGGCCGTCGAATATGTGCACCTCCGAGACCTACGCATTCGGTCGACTCGTGTGCCAAGCTCCTTCGGCCCATCTTCGAGAGATCGCGTGAGAGAGCCTTGCACGCGTTCCATGCGAGCAGGACAAGAGAGAGATACATCGAAGATTCGAGGCATAGTGTTTGTTTGTGTGCGTCCGTGCGTGCGTGTGTCCGAGACAATGTTTATAGGAGAGAGTCGCCAGGAAGAGCCCCACGTAAACACGAATCATGGAAATGGAAATTGAAATGGAAATTGAGCAGAATGTAAGGCATACATTTCATCTATAATGCTACGCTTGATTTAGCCCAGCCGATTCAAAGCTCCTATATACAGAGTACAAAGACATTTTGCTTTTTTCCCTCGCTGCGATCTACTTTGCTATTCTCTCTTGAGCCACATAAATATAATCTCTTTGAACTCCAAGACTTCCTACCACTTGTACTCTTTTGCGAGCCCTTGACTTGCACTATGTATATGTTTGCGTATATATACATTATTCTACAATATCGATCCAACTCGCTGCTCTTACATGGTATCTGCGTTATCTGTCGTACGCGACTCAATCCTTTTTCATCTCGCACATGTCGATTAGCTAGTGGACAAAATTGATTAATTACAATTGATAAGTAGTACGTGTGTACCTAAATCTTTTGCCCTTTCGCTACTAGTTTATCCTATTAATAACGAGATATTTCGGTTACCTCCAGAAAATCACGACTGTCTTTTTGGCCCCGAATTTTCAAGTTTTGCGTAATTGCAAGTAAACCATGCATCAAATTATTACATTTTTCAATTATTCAATCTGTTGCGTAATACACGATGTGATTCCTGATTGGTTTAAATTTATTTGTAAAACAGTGCATATAACGACTACTCATTTTTCATAATTGTATTTTCTTTTTAAGGTCTCGGCAAAGCTCTGCGATGGAGGTCACGTGTAAGTAATAGCATTTTATATCAAATCAAGTAGAATAATAGTATAAAGAGATGAATCGTTTTACATAAACCTCCAATACTAATAGCAGTAGATTAACGTGAAAATAACTACCTACCTAATGATGCGCAATTTTATTTTACGCAGGTGTACATTCCCGAAAGAATGTTGCAGTCTCGGCTGCTGCAGCTACACGACGTTCCCGCAGATTGGCAATTCCGTTACGGAGATGCTCAAATTTTTGTTCTGGTACTACTGGTATCTATGGTAAGCCGGAAGTCTCTCTCTCTCTCTTTCTCGATCTCGAGCAGAAGCAATTTTTAATCGATCAACGTATTCGATCGGCTAGGATCGCGGTACTCGTGGGTTTGGTCGTCGCGACGGCCTGCGGCTGTTGGCTGTGCCGGCGCCGAAACGCCAGCATGCTCGACGACGGCACGACCATCTCGGAGAGGGCCTCGCTGGGCTCGTGCTACCTGCCGCCGCACTACAGCCGATGCAGCTCGATCGTCCAGGCGATGCCACCGCCCTACAACGAGGTCACGGCTAAGCCGGACCTCTACCCCCTGGTCATCGGCTACGGAGACGACGTGGCCGGGCCCTTCGGCAAGGGCCACTGCTCCGGCCTGGTGATGCGCTACTTCCGCTCGCTGTCGCACGCCAGCACCCTCGACTCGCTCTCCTCCAGCTTCATGTGCAACGTCGTCAACAGCGAGGCCAACAACGCCATACCGCCGCCGTATTCCTGCAACAACAGCATCGACGAGCTCTCCTCCACGGCCACTGGGGTGAGCGCAGTTCCGCATTGACGCGCGCTCTTCGCCTCGATCAATGTTTCATTCTCTTTCTTTTGTTCGCTTGAAGGGCGCTACCGGTGGTGCGGAACGTCCGATTAATTTTGGCGAAGGCTCGCTCGCCTCGCTCGTCAATCATCGCACCACGTCCGACGTGTCGAGCTTAGCGGCGCAGTCGCCGCTGTCGCCCCCTCGAGCTACCAGTCCCACGATCGAGGTGAGCATTTTAACCGTTGAATTACATTAGTCGCGAAAATTGTCAATGTGTGTGTGTGTCGATTTATTTTATGCATCGGAAGCATTCAAATGTTCCCTTTTATTTTTCTAGTTATGTTTTTCAATATTTTTGAAAATTACTCTTTTTTCCTTTATTTTTCCAGATTACGTTAACTATGGAAACACACATATTTTATACACAAAATAAATAATCGATTCATCTGAAAAATTCAAATTACATCATCTTAATGGCATAATTTTTTCAAAAATCACTGCTGACATACATAAAATTTGATTGCTTTTATTAAAAAAAAAAAAAAATATTAACGAAAGACTTGATCGCAAATTTATTCTTACATATTAAATAACAACACCACCAAATAAGATTCCACTTGAATCGGTGTGGGTAAATATTACTTTTAATTATAATCAGTAATGTAACTCTATTTACAAACTTGGTATAATGAGCTTGCTATTAAATTTGAGATTTTTTTGTAATAAACGTATCTCAGTACTCATCTTACAATTACATCCTTTACTTGTATTTCATCTTTGGCTTAATTGTTAAAAGTTTTTTTTTCAACTCTAATGCTATAAAATGTACTAATAAATAAATACGCTGTCAAGTTCAAAAGATCATCATTTCACAGTATTCACGTAGTTGAATTATGTGATTCGATTCACGTACATCAATTTATAATATAATTTACGATAGATTTAATAATAAATTTCTTTTTTTGGTTATTATATATTAATGTAAAATTTGATTTATTTCTCAAACAGTTGCGCGAACTTTTGGATAAAATTCAACAATTGCCCCAGCTGCCATCGATAAATAATCATCACAACCTGCATCATTCCCAGCAGCAGCAACAGCAACAACAAACGTACGATCAAACGGCTCCGCGTCCATCGGCTCTGTACTCGCTGAGCCAGCAGCGCTCGACGAGTCCGCAAAATCCTTGCGACGACAATAACGACCCCAGCGGCGATGAAGACGGCGACGACGCGAGAATTTCACCCTATCGTCGACAGCGGCAGCAAGCGCAAACGAGCTCGGGATTCGCCGCGGCCTCGACGTCCCGAACGCGACGCACCCGTGGCAAGACCTACGTATCCGTCGGTCATTCTGGAATCTTGTCGGGCGGTGGCTCGAGTCGTTCGTGGCTCTCGAGGTCCGCTCCGACTACACCGAGTGGAGTACCGACGGGAGTATCGGCTTTTCTCTATCAGCACCATCTTTACCAGGAGGCCGCCAACAGACAACAAGCTGTACCGCTCTTACTGGCCGAGCAAGAAGAAAACGAACAGGCCAGTGCCAACGATGCTTCTTGAACGTCTTTAGTTTTATCATAAAGTTCAAGAGCTTATTCACTTATCACGAATACATAAAAAAACATAGAAACTTGGAATGGTGATTTATAAAGTGTTAGTTCAGATGGTTGAAAGTTACTATGATATTTTGTAAAAACAACAACGACCCAAGTTTTATTTTACTTGACTAACCGATTATTATTGCATAATTATTTGCATCATAATAATTTATGCCTTGTTAATACTCAAAAAAATATCCCGATATAATGACGATTTTAATTTTAAAAAATGCTTCTTACTGCCTACATCACGAAAAAATATATCGATTGCGAGAATATAACTTGAACTCTTTTAACTGATTGTAAAATGGTCGATTAACATACATTGAAACAAATATTATAAATAATATTCAAATATTTAATATATTTTTTGTCATGCCAAGCAACTAATTATACACGATTCACCTGGTCTAATGGGATAAAACGTATTTTTATCAAATTCACATTCGAGCTCAAAATTCATCTTGTTAAATCACATAATCATTGTTACTGCAATAACCGTTCAGTTAAACCTCTTATGTGGTGGGAACATTCAGAAATTTATATTCATTCGAGAAAAGTATAATTAAAAAATCAGTAAACAAATGGTCTTGACATAGGTCTTATCATCAAGAGGTTTAGTAAATATAAATTAAAATTTTTACGAGAAACGATAATCAAGATTTATTTGCAACCACAAAAAATGAACGAAACATATCCACTCACGCATATAAAATCGATGAGGCAGAGATATTTTGTATTATTTTTATACGCTCATACTATAGGTGGCGTTAATTATAAATGATAATTACAACATAAAAATAAGGAAGCAAGGATTATACATACGCATCGTGCTAATAACTTATCGATCTATACTCCATCAATAATATGTAATTCAAATTTCATCACTTTTAATAAGTGAGAAATTACTTAAACATATTATAAAATTAATATTTCGTTTTGTGGGAAGTTTTCATTATCACATTACTATAAGTAAATGCAAGGCGCAATTTGTACTAAAAGATTGTTTTATCCAATTTAATTGATGCAGATCTTAGTTTTATAGAACTAAATAAATACATTAAATTGGATAGGGTTTTCAATTTTTCTAGTCGACATTATTGAAAAGTATTATTTACGCGTTATAGAATAACTTAAGTGGTTAAAAATCAATTGTTATGACTATTGTTAAAATATATTAAATCATTAATTTAGTCGTATGCTAATGTAATTAAGTTTTTCATAAAGATGCTATGATATTGTTATTGTAAATAACTCGTATCTCGAATATTGTAATCTTTTTCAATAAGTAGGATCTTTTTTACAAAATAAGTATTGCAATGAACATTAGTCACACTCATGTGTTATATCATTACATAGTTCGAGTATTCAGAAAATTGATGTGCCAAGCTACAACTTGGAAATTAGAGACTGAGGCAGGACAAGTATTTGCCCATCGAGCGTACTATTGAGAAAATGAAGCATTTTTTTATTGTGATAATCAGACGTGGAAAATTGATCAAACTCTTACGAGGAACCGTTGTGTTTGTATAATTGATACAAAATCGCATTTCAAGCGAATTGAACGTTTGAAACTATATTGGATATAATTGAAGGACATTCGCAATATATTTATGTAATACAAAATAAAAAATATGTCGTATCAAAATAATCGTATATTTTTTCATTAAGCTTGAGAATATTCAAAAATCAAACTTCCACCGAAAAAATTGTATACGCGCCGTATTCGCTGTTTTAAGCCAATATGTGCAAAAATAAATAAAACTTTGTCCATCCAGTTTGCAGCCGTTCGAACGTGTATATTCATTTAAGTGTACGAAACAATAAAATATGCAAATTTACCACCATGTGTACTCTCACCCCGTGTGGTTTTCCAATGAACTAGGTAGATTTGAAAAAATTAATAATTAAAATTCTGGTCGTGAGCGATAATGTAATGACGATGAAAAATTTCTGCTTTTTAAATTATAGTTTATTATGAAGTCGTAGAATTACAAATGACTATAATCATTTGAAATATTATGCAGTGATTATATGTAGGCAAAGAAAATATTTAATGAGTATTTAATAAAAACGTATGTAATCGGTACAATACAGTATCAAACAACATTATCATTGTTTGAATAAATTCTTATGAGTGGTATTGTATTCTCAAACAGGCATAAGCGTGTAGTATATTATACTACGAAACTACTTTGAAGATGATAGATGAAGTTTTATTAATATATCAAGTAGAAATAGTTAATAGCTGCGATTCTACAGATACATGCAAGTTCTCAATGCAATTTAGATGCAGAATATTCTCTTTGCAGTCAAAATCAGTTTTTAGCGAAATTAAATAATTTGAAAAATCTTTCACTAATTTTTCGTTCAAATAAACTATTATTTTTGATATAATTCTATTTTAGTTAAAATTACAATTTACACACTGAAAATACACAAGTATGTATCGATCTATGCACCAAATAAACAGCGCACAATGTTCCGATAATGTTTACTATAAATACGAATGGTATACAGCAAATTGGTTAGTTTTAAAAGTTACAAGAATCTTGGCTTGACGTTACTCGATAACGGTATTGATAATGCATTGCGTGCTTACAGTAAAAAATGATTACAGAAATAATAATTACGAAACCTTATCGATATTCAAGATTCATGATACTATTGGGTACACAAAACTGAGTGTATTATTAGCGAGTATTTTTTATAACACGAGTAAAATCCAAATAAAAGCTTTTATCAAAAGAAACTGTAACCTTTTTCTTTTCCCAAAAATAATCAATAATTTTTTTAATAACCCATGAGGAGGCTTTGAAATAGGCCCGAAACCGATTTTTTGAACCAGGGGTTGTAGAATATTTCGTTTACACAATTGTAAACTAGATTGGATTTCCAAATAATGTATGATGTGGGTTCGTACGTACAGAGCTTTATTCAATTGTAATGAGAGGTCAAATATTGTAAAAAGAAACCACATTAATCAACTATTGTATTCAAGATTATATAGAAAAAACTTATTTTGCGGTACACATTTAAAATTTTTTTATTAATTAATGACAACGATTTTTCCTTTACAATTTCCGTGTTTCGACATTACATGCACAGAACTCGCTGCACACAATATTGTCCGACAACATGCAAGTCACTAGAATTTCACAATTATTATCTATGGCAGTCAAAATTCCAGCTGGAGAGAATAGCTGAGTCTCTACTTAAATCAACTTATATTTCAAGCTGTTGCATAATTGAACGTCTTACAGTGCAGAGTCCAATGAAAGACTAACATTCCAGCCCCAAGTATCCAATAGCTAAAGACGGATTTTGTTAAGGACAACAAAACTCGAGAAATGGCCCCGACGTTTCTAGTAACCGTAAAACTATTCAAGTATAAAAATGACCAGTCAAGAACCCCTCAGAGATAGACTTGGTTCTAATTCATCTGATCAATCGAAATTCAACTTTTTATTTAATTATTCAATTTTTTGTATTGGTACATAATGTAATTTACATATTCAACTACATATTTTTAGACAACTAAGTCAGAGGTTATTTTAGTATAAAAATTACCAGTTCGCAAGGTAGAAGTTTGACTAAATAATTATCGAGTAACAGAAAAATAAGATTTACACATATCCAGAAAATTCCCTAAACTTTCAGACACATCGACTGTACAGCGTTTGAGTGGAATGGTTCAGTTTCGACAAACTAAAAGTATATTTACATAGTATAGCACATATAATATGAATTTTATATTCTTGGCTGTTCTTTCATAGTATTAAATTTTCGAACATTCTTCATGCAAGCAAAGTCAACAATCGACTAGAATGATTTGATGTAGAAAATTGTGATTTTTCATCGTCCATGTGAAAACCATTATATACCCAACAGGCAATCGACAAAAACTTCAGGAATTGTTTACAAAGATTTCAATTTCATGTCGTAATAATCAAGTGTTGTTTCGAGTAAAATGGACATTTCTTAATTATGAAAGCTTCTTATAAAATGATGACAAATCACTTCGTTGGCTTCGTGAGATGCAGTGCCACAATTATAATAAATTTGAATTATGATTGGTACCACCAGTTACATGTGGTGCTATTAAAATTGAATGCGAGGTCAACTTCTATGAAGTTCAAGTCAGATCTTAGGCATTGAATATGAGTTCTTACGATGTCGTATGGTAGTCCTGATAAGGACTGTTTGGTAGTAATGGTAGAACGACGAGCGATATGTTTAGCCGCCGAAACCGTATAGAGTGCGGCCTTGACGCTTGAGTGCGTAAACTACGTCCATGGCAGTGACGGTCTTGCGCTTGGCGTGCTCAGTGTAGGTGACAGCGTCACGAATGACGTTCTCGAGGAATACCTTGAGAACACCACGAGTTTCCTCGTAGATCAAGCCTGAGATACGCTTGACACCACCACGACGAGCGAGACGACGGATTGCTGGCTTGGTAATACCTTGGATGTTATCACGAAGAACTTTACGATGACGCTTGGCTCCTCCTTTTCCCAATCCTTTGCCTCCCTTACCACGTCCAGTCATGATTGAATAAGGTGCGTTACAGTTAGCGGACACAATTCAAATGATACAAGTTTTGTGTGCACCCATCTTTTTATAGTATTCCAACGGCAATCGTCCCCTCTTGAGCAAAAAGCGCGTACAGTCTCATCCCCTCCACTATTTTTCCCACCAATGGCCACTCGCCGAGCGCCGACTGCTTTCATTTTTGAAGCTATAAATATGAGGCATAAGTGCCAGCCACATCATTTCTTGAGTTTCATCCAAGTCGTACGCTCAATTTCTGCACAATGGCTCGTACCAAGCAAACCGCCCGCAAGTCCACCGGAGGCAAGGCCCCGCGAAAACAACTTGCCACCAAGGCTGCGCGCAAGAGCGCGCCAGCAACCGGAGGAGTCAAGAAGCCACATCGCTACAGGCCCGGCACCGTCGCTCTTCGTGAAATCAGACGTTACCAGAAGAGCACCGAGCTTCTCATCCGCAAACTGCCCTTCCAGCGTTTGGTCCGTGAAATCGCTCAAGATTTCAAGACCGACTTGCGTTTCCAGAGCTCTGCTGTCATGGCCTTGCAAGAAGCTAGCGAGGCTTATCTGGTCGGTCTTTTCGAAGATACCAACTTGTGCGCTATCCACGCCAAGCGTGTCACCATCATGCCCAAGGACATCCAGTTGGCTCGTCGCATTCGTGGAGAACGCGCCTAAGCTACCACTTCACAACTATATAATCAGTCCTTTTCAGGACTAACAAATTATAAAACGTAGAACTCCTATCCCTTGCACAAAAAATTTTCTTTCCACTTTGATAGTCTTGGCATTCATAAAATAAATATTAATCAGCCGAACATGAAAAATCATAAAATACGATTGATATTTGAATCAGGCCGATTACGGGTGGTAATTAGCTAATGATGTTTTAAAAGTGAAATTCAAAAATTCTATGAATATTCTAGATGATTAATAAAGTATCTCAGTAAAGCCTGATGAAAGTCGAAGCTATTGATAAAAGTTATTAAAGAAAATGCTGCAAACATTATTCAACTTGAAACTGTTATCAGCAAGAAAACACTGGTATCTCTGAGACATTATCAAAAGGGAGAAACGAGATGTGGCAACTCAAATATTTATTTAAATGCAATTGACCAGTCAAAACTAACCGTCTATTCAGCAAGAAGCGATTTATTAAATTCAGTTTAACGTAAAGCTGTAAACTGGTCATACCCATCTGACAATGAATCGGTTCATCATTCTTCAAGTCTTTTTAGTTTTAACCGTGTTCGGTGAGTAAATGTTATGTCTCACTCGCATAGATTTCTGTGGCATACCCGAAAGTTATCAGTGATACATCATAAGAATTAATTTATAATTCACAACACAAAACTTTTATCGATGCAGAGCATTATGAATGTGTAAATGAGTAAACGAGTCCTTATTTATACCATTTTTCTCAAGTTTAACAAGCTTATGTTATCGTAGAATTTTCAACTATCGTTCTCGAATTTGTCTAAATTCGTATAACTATATTCGATTATTAAAAGATTTCTTACCATTTTACTGGTGGAAACGAATATCTCGTTGCATTTTTTGTTGATATTTTGGAAATGGTTAATTACGAATTCTTTTACAACTTCTATTTATCTATACTTAGGAAAATGATCTTTACAGTGAAGCAAATTTTAGATAATTTTTTTAATTAAATAAAAAAAAATTTGAGACAATTTGATACAATTATTAAATAAATATCTTACTGCGTTTGGCATGTAAAACAGCCAAGTCACCGAACAATAAAATATAAGCTGTTGAGGCTAAGTGCTGGTAATAAACATTTTTTACGTCCGACCATTTTTCAATTTTCATTCCTTGCGTAGAAAAATAAATACATAATGATTAATTCAAATACTTATCTTCGCTGTATATTCATTTGGATCTTTCATTTCAGTTGCCGCAGAAGATACGGATTGTAATACATGGCAAACAATAACATGTAGTTTGCAATGTCTCTTCTCCAAATTTACATGCTCGGTCAATTCTGATGGCGCATACGTTTGTAAATGTAATTAATAGAAATGAATAACATTGTTTACCATTGTGGAATAACATGCAGTCTCTATGTACTGGTTAAATAAAATTCCATTGTTTTTAATTCAAGTCGACTAATATATCTTAATGGTAATATTTGCATTAAGTACATGGTTTTATAGACACAAGAGAGATACATAATTCATTCGTGTCAGAAAGGTGGATGGTACGGCATATGTATTAGTCTAATTGTCGAGAAGAAATAAGGGCTCGACCATGTTTTGACGCAAATGAAGTTTGATATACGTTTTATAAATGTAGTAGCCCTGATAAGGGCTGATTTATATCAAGCTAGATTAATTTAGGCTTTCTTTTCGGTCTTTTTGGGTAAAAGCACAGCCTGAATGTTAGGCAGTACACCACCCTGGGCAATAGTGACTCCAGACAGAAGTTTGTTTAACTCTTCGTCGTTGCGGATGGCCAGCTGGAGATGTCTTGGGATAATCCTGGTCTTCTTGTTGTCACGAGCGGCGTTGCCAGCCAACTCGAGGACTTCAGCGGCCAAGTACTCCATAACGGCGGCCAAGTAGACTGGAGCTCCGGCTCCTACTCGCTCAGCGTAATTACCCTTGCGGAGCAGACGATGAATTCTGCCGACCGGGAATTGAAGTCCAGCGCGAGTTGAACGGGTCTTTGACTTGCCCTTGGCTTTGCCAGCGCCACCTTTACCACGACCAGACATGATGAATATGTAACGTGAAAGAGAGTTGCACACTCGATACGTTTGCAGAGGCAAATGTGCTGTTTGCTGGGCTTGTCAGAATATTTATACTTTGGCTGCGTCCCGACGCGAGCCAATCGTGCCGACGCGTGAGAGTAGCGGTGGAGGGGGTAGAGTCAGAATCTCGCGCGCCGCACAGCCGCTCACATAAATACAGACTGCAAACCCGTGTCCCTTCAATCTATCGTGTTCTCTCGAGTCCGTCAGATCCAATATTTCGCAATGGCACCGAAAACTAGCGGCAAAGCTGTCAAAAAGTCTGGCAAAGCCCAGAAGAACATCTCTAAGAGCGACAAGAAAGGCAAGAAGAAGAGAAGGAAGGAGAGTTACGCCATTTACATCTATAAAGTATTGAAGCAAGTCCATCCCGATACTGGTGTGTCCTCCAAGGCCATGAGCATCATGAACAGCTTCGTCAATGACATCTTTGAGCGCATCGCCGCCGAAGCTTCCCGCTTGGCTCACTACAACAAGAGATCGACCATCACCTCCCGGGAGATCCAAACTGCTGTCCGCCTGCTGTTGCCCGGTGAGCTCGCCAAGCACGCCGTCTCTGAAGGCACCAAGGCTGTAACCAAATATACGAGCTCGAAGTAAACCATCAATTTTCATCTTTAACCGGCCCTTTTCAGGGCCAAAACATTTCAACGTTAACATTCTAGTCGTCATGTGTCATGAACAATGATTATATACCTTATACAGTGATTCGAAAATTAAATTTCATCTTTATTCCTACGTTCGATCTACTTCCGTTCGATCTTGTCAATGACATCAATGTAAATGAAACTTGGCTTAACTAAACACGAACATGTGTGTAAAAACATTCAAGAAGTCCTGCTACTATTGAATGCTAGTTGTTTGTGCAATAACAGATCTGCAAATATACACGGATCTCGGAGATTTAATTTTTTATTATATGGAAGCAGATATTCGTGTAGCGACTAATTATATTGATACTTCCTCCAAAAATGTACAACATCATGCACACAATCGTTACACTACCAAATAAGTCTTGATGATCAATTGCCACCCTTATTCCCACTTGAATTACTTTTTACTCAGCGAACTAATGATAAACCTATCGGATAAGATTTATGAACCTTATCTACTACCTATAGTCAAGTCAATAGCTATTTACATCTTTTCCATGCTGCCATAAATCCGTCCAAAATATTCACTATCGAGTCATACTTGTGTTCAAACACGACACAATTGAAGCTATTCCAAAAATTGTAAAATCGGTATTAATTTGAAATGAAAAAGTTCAGATACAAAATTTTCTTGCACAGCTAAGATTCTTTATCTGAGTCAAAGTCAAAATTTTGTATATATCTCAAATTTGAACGCTCAATCATTTTTAATAATGAAAAAATAGTAGCAAAACCGAGTTCCACCACAATTTCACATGGATGCAGCGTCAATCACATGGATGTCGGTTTCTTTGAATACTGATTTTGAAGCAATTTTTTTTTAAGTTTATAAACATAAAAAAAGTATTAGAATTTCCCATTTTCGTGCACTTTATGTAATTTTTCAAAATATTCTCGATTTGCTTATGAGAAAGAAAAACAGCAAAGCTTTTCAATCTTAAAAGAAAAATGGAATCATTTGTTTATTATTTCAAGTCATTTGCTAAATGAAAAATAATTGTGATTTATTATTCGTAAGAAATTCTGTTTAAGATTTTTTTGTGAAGTCTTCGTAAATTATCGACCGTTTTATACTGTTATTAATAAAAGAGCTTTTAAACTTGAATACAGAAAATCCTTTAATATTATAGTTGTACATCTTAAAATCGGGAAAATGAAATAGGACTTTTTTTTAACTCCGTTTTTATGCTCGATTTACGAATCAAATAAATTCAAAAAGAATTGATTTCGATTCTTAATAAATTTTTTCATTTGTTAAAAAATGAACAACAATAAACAATTATGTGTATTGAATCAATTATGTAAATTACATCGATTTATTTAAAATAATTGAATGTTCTCATTTAAAAATCATTAACTAAACTTTTAATTATAAAAATGATTTTAGACACATCTTAATCGATTCCGCACATATCCTGTATAATTGTAATATCATATTAAAGCTGTTTTTTCTTATTTTATTACAACTATTCCGTATTATTTTATTCGTATTTATCCCTTTTTATTTCTTTACAAGACCTACAAGCCATTAAAAATTTTCATTTATTGGAACACTTAAGATGTATGTATCGGCACTACAGGATAAAATGATGCGTCTTTTAAAAGTTGTTTAGCTTAATTCTGAGTTTAACCACACACAATTTTTCTAATACTGATCAATGTTTTGTTTCCGAGATAATATTGATAATTTTAAGTATTGGTTCAAATTAGTTTATTCATCTACTTACATTCATAAACTTAAATTGCATGTAAATGAATCATGATACTATCATAGTCTAGAAATACTATATCATTGTAAATTCGTTCTGCAACGCAAAAATCGAATCAATTCTTAAAAAATCAATGAAAATTGTACTTCCCTATTACACAATCGCATATGACACATTTTGGATTACTCAAAAATGGTTTTTGACCTACTTTTTCTTCTTAGTAAGAAAATGAAGCTCGTTTTTTTGAAAAAAAAAATTTAGAAAAAAAGTTACAACTAATGATATTGAAACTTATTTTTACTTTTTTACAATGCTTAAAAAAACGTACGCGCACTGTTGTACTAAATCCAGGACATTTTTTCTTTTATTCTTGCATTAAGGACGTTCTATTAATAACTGCAAAAATCTTTACGCTTAAATATTTGATTATTAATAGAAAAATTTTAACGTTAAAAATGCGTTAGCGTATTTTAAAAGAGGACTTTGTAAGTTATAAGCAATGAATTTGTCAATAACTCATTTTCGGCACACTTTTAAAGAACAAGTCTAATTTTTTTCAGCGGGAAAAAATAAGTCTGAAAGCATAAATCATTCGAGCAATTTCAAAGATCCATGTAAACCCCTTCAACGTCCAAAATATGTCACCTGCAGGAATCTTATGAACTAAACTAGACAGCATAAATCAAAATGAGTCGTTGAACTGAGTTTGCTCAAATTGTTACTTTGATAAAAATAGGATTGCGTCAAAAAGATGTAGCTAGACGAATATGGATTCTAGGGCGTTTCCATTTTATTGTTCTGACGTAATCCTGCCGTTATCAAGAAAATGATTTGAACAATTTAATTTCAAATAGACGAGATTATTTTGAGTATACTAATATAACCATTAACCATACTTTATTCCTTTCACTCTTTTTTAATGATTGCTTGTGGCGGATCAAAACGATGCATACAGTTCGACCAACAACTTCCTAGTTGTACGTGTCGAGATTTGCTAATTTTAGCGATAATATGTATTAAAAACATAAATATATTATTAATCTTAGAGGTCCAGGATTTGAAAGGTTAAATCAACTACAGAAAACTGGCATGAAAAGTACCGTAAATCATTGATGGACCATAGGCCAAGTGTCGATCAAGGGTTGTGCTAATATATTACTGTTGCTCTGTGAAGGTAACAACAACAAACCCGGGAAAAAATTTACCGTAATACGTTTAAACTTGATAGGTGTGAAAGCATTTGAAAATTAACGAAATGTCTATGAAAATTTTTGTTACGATACATTTTTTGTGGAGTGTACTTTGGTACATCAATGCGGTTTTAGTATCTTTATCGCTCGTAAGCGTCACAAATCATGTGGACATAAGGCTTGTTTTTAAAACTGTTTCTAAAGCCACCCAAATAACCGTTTTATTTTCGAATTTTCGAAAGCTTTGAATGAAATATTAAAGATTTTTCAATTTTATTCTGAGTGACTTAATTTAAATGCAGCCTGAACAATTTTTCAGAATTGTTCAATGTATAATATATTAACTAGCGGCGTTCCTCGCTCGCTAACGCTCGCTCGGTCTCAGATTGTTTCAAAGAAATTGTAAGAAGTATTGGAGGAGTAAGAATATTATAAGACATATTTATGAAATATTTAAATTTTGAACAAATTTAGATGTTGAAACATAATAGAATATAATAGAATCATGTTTATCGATATATTATGTAATTGGTCATGATTCATTGAATACAAAATAACCCAAGAACTTGATAGATTTAACTTAACGAAACATCATCTCTCCTTCTCGTCTTAAATATAGTACAGTGACTTTCTAAAAGGGCATTAATTTGTACGTCGAAATAGGTCTATGA